GGAATAAGAACACATGTGTTTTCAAAAACAACATATCATGTTAGTAGAGGCCGATCTTTGATCGGGCGAGTGTGGGTGCTCATTTCAGGACCTTCCCCTCTCGTACCTAAGTTCCCGAGCTGAGGCAACTTTAGTGATGACGGACACGTGCCTTTAGGCACGAGTCAGGGTTTCCTAAATTTCCCAAAAATAAAATATTTAGGTGGCGACTCTGAAATCTGGTAAAGCAGTCCATGTTTGGCGCTTTTTGATTAAAATCAATTTTCCAAAATGATTTGTTGGATTTGGACTTTTTGGTGATTTATCAGTCTTACATTGCACTTTGTAAGATTAGATTTAGAACTGTGACAGGAGTCCGAACTGTAATAGCTAGAACCGAATTCGCACCCTCTCCGAAAAGGGGGGCGCGCGAAGAGAGTTTGGGGCGGTCTACACATTGGCTCTAGCAAAAAAATGGAGTCCAAATGACATGAAGTGGCAATAGATGAAAGCATAGGAAATGCTTGCATACACAAAAAGGGAGTTCAACATGGACAAGACGAGACATGACATATTTTGTGCACTCATTCCCCTCATGGCATACATGGACTATTATGCAAGACCAATCCCATACCAAGGCAATTTTAGGTGGAGTTTGACAATTAATTTAGAGGAAATCTCATTTTGCCCCCCAAACTTTCATGTGTTTTTTAATTTGACCCCCAGATTTCGATTAATATCAATTTTACACCCAAACTTTTCAAAATTTTGATCAATTTGACCCCTACCGTCACATTCCGTCTACAATTGGAAGGAATGTGCTGACGTAGCACCAAAATTCATTTAGAATTTCATTTTACCCCCGAACTATACCTTAAAAATCAATTTTCCCTCCAAATATAAAAAAAAATTAAATTTAAACATTTAATAAATAAATTTTTATCTCGATAATGGAAAAAATTAAAATTTAAATAGTACGTCCTTTGCAAAAAAAATATAAAAATTCTTCTCGAGTACGATAGCCCTATAGTTCGGACTCGTGTGGTTCTGAATCTGGTATCACAAGTGCAATGTGAAACATAAAAAACAAATGAGAGTTCAAATTTGGCAAATCTTAGAAAGTCCACTACTAATCAGAAATGCCAAAAATGGACTACATTGCCAGATTTCAGAGTCGCCACCTAAATATTTTTGAAAAGTTTAGGAAACGGAACTTAGGTATGAGAGAGAAAGGTCATGAATTAAGCACCCCACTCACCATATCAAAGATTGGCCTCTACTAATCATGATGTGAATTTTATGTACATTATATGCTCACGTTTTGATTTTTTTATGCTAACTTACTATGTGAGGGACACAAGTATAGACCGTTTTGCTTGTTTTGGAAACGACTTGATTTTATGTGATTTTTTGAAAGAGTTTTGAGTGCACACAACTCAAAAAGAAAGAAATGAGCTCATACACACATTTGATCAAAATCATCCCCAATACAAGTAAAATAACCTTCATCCACAGGCATTTAAACAGTTTATTTCGAGTAAGCACATAGCCTCATGGTAAGATGCTAAGCATAGCAACAATCACACACATGAATATGCTAAAGCCAATAAATGCTTACCTAATACTCCGAGGTAAGCCAAAGAAAAAGAAAGCAATTAATAAAGGCATGACCCTAACAATGCACATGACTAATGCAACACATACAAGAATGTAACTATCAGGTTTGGCTTATTAACATGTCATATGGATTAACTCAAAGCATGCGGTAACGCATGTATTCAAGCAAGTAGGAAATAACAATGATATTCAAGAATGATGAACCAAACCTTAATGTATGCAAAAATGGATACAAAGCATGGTAATGATATGAAACGAAAACAAGATGCTATATACAACCACGGTAACCATGTAATTAAAAGGGGAAAGAAATGGGGGTTGAAAGACATACATTACATATTATAAATTTCCCCTCGCACGAGAGGGTCCGAATGAATGTCCTAATTAACTAATTAGTACAAACACAAATGAATAAACTAATTAATTAATTATTAACTAATTATAACAAAATACAAATATCAAAGATACTAATCTAATGGACTTGAATGAGAGGCGGGAAATCTATAGCGACCGGGTCCTTTCTCCACTCTTCTCCTATTTTCTTCTCTTTTCTTCCCCTCGTCGCTCCGTTCTTCTTTTACCTTCGTTAGGTTTGAAATATCCAGAAATAGTCCTCTAAATAAAGTTCTTGCTTTTGCTTTGCTCGGTATTGAATTTCACTTGTTCCGGAGAGCGTGAGGTCAGGCCTGGAGTGCCCGGGGGTTGAACCAAAAACTTTGCTAGACTGGTTGGCTTGCCGCACGTGCGGGGGCCTAGGGTCGCACGTGCGGGAGGGTGAGGCCGCACGTGCGGATTTCATTGGAAGCTGGGGCTGCACACTGCTTGATATGCACGAGCGGGGAGAGGTGCGGGAGAGGTGCGGGAGAGGATCCCCTCATACGCGGGGATGAAAATCACAGGTGCGTGAGGGGCGCTATGCACGTGCGGCAGACGGGCAGTCCAAATCTCTGTTTTTTTTTTTTTACCCTTTTGGCCGAAGTTGTATCACATTTTTGGGGCTTTTCTCTCACTCTAAACTTCATTTCTCTTCCCCTTCTCTCTAAAAACCCTAACCAAAACACCTAAACACTTTACTTCCTTGCAAATCCTTGGATTTAGAACATCATCATCTCACCTTAATCTTCAAGATCAAGCTTGGACTTTTCTCTTGGTGTAGGAGAATTGAAGAATATTCCATCTTGAATCTAGGGTTTCTTCCCTTATCTTCATCAAAGTTTGAGGTAGGGATTTCTTGAGTTATATATACATGTTTTGCTACATTGATGATGGCTTACGAGTTCCCTCAAAGTTTTGTGTTGATTTCTAAAGTTTGTTTCAAAGTGTAGAGAAATTTTAAATGTGGATTTCCAAAACTCAATCTTTGCTACTCCATGTTGATTGTTGATGTACATAACCTAAGAAATGTGATTTTAGTTGGGATTTACCAAGGAAATGAAAAGTGTTTTGTCTTGACGAAAAACCCTAAAGAAATTTGGGGATTTTGGCAAGTAAGAAAAATACTTATGAAATTCTTTATTCTTTTATGTCAAGAGGGTGAATGAAAGTAAATATCATTAATGTTTAGAGAAATAGCTATCTATGTGTGGTAAGAGAAATGAGATGTTATTTTCATATAATTGTTAAGCCCTAGAACATGTATTGTTGGGAAATGATAAGTGGTTGTGTGCCTTGAAAATGTGAGAATTGTAGAATCTTGGAGATTTATGTTGAGAATATATATAGTCTTGAAGAGACTAACTTGTTATGAATTGTGTTTGGCGAGTGATTGTCGTCGTTGCTACGAATTGAGGGTTTATGGTTATGTTGTGAAATAACATTGCAAGAGAAGATATGAGAAATTAAATTGATTGATCTTGTTGTAGAGACATTTGAAATTGGAGAAACGTTATGAGATACGAAAAATCATTGCATTGCATATTCATTCAATTATTACTTTTGCATGGTAAATTTCGAGTGAAAAAATTTATTTCATGAAAGAAAAAGATGTTGTGATAAGAACTATGGAAATGTGGGATGGGGTAAATACGTGGTAAGTCCGGATAGGGGATGTAGTTAATCTTGATAAGTGTGCATGGTGAAAGACCAGAAAACCACGCGGATAGGTGTTGAGCCTTCCAGTTAATAGTAGTAAAAATGACAGTTTGGTAGTACTCGTAGAGTCTACTTGCAGACACCAGCCTAGGGATTACCAATGTCGTATTTACCGTCCTTATTGAGTTAAATATTGGAAGTTTTGAAATTGATGAGATTGAAATATATGATTGAGAACTTGGAAATTTTCAAAATTGTGCATTGAAATGAAATTCCTTTTGTTATTGGCTTTTGCATGGCATTACATTTGCATTTGTATTTGAGAGTTTGCATAACTGTATATACTTTGTGAGAATTCTCTATTGGGCTTTATGCTCACCCTTATGGGATTTGGTGCAGGTAAAGATGTGGTAATCCCGTTGAACTGAGGGCGTGGATACTTTGTGAAGAGTAAATACCTCTTATTTTTGTTGTAAATTTTTGTGAAGCCAAGGGCTAACGTGTATGGGTCTGAGAGACCATTTTGTGTAACTGGGCTATTGTCTTGGAAGATGTAAGCGCTTAAGGGCATTTTATTGTTTTGGGACTAGATGTTTCACATGCTATAGATTCATGGGTATTTTTATCATTGAATGTGTATCCGCATGTGAAACTTTTGTATAAACTCGTTTATGGACTATGTAATGAAGGCAGGTTCATTGCCATGCCTTAGTGAATATTAATTAATGTGGGTAGTTCATGTTGAATTATTTCGGGGCGTTACAACTTGGTATAAGAGCTACTGGGTTTAAATACTTTGGGCTCGCGGGAAGTGGTTGTTATACCACAATGGGTTCATTTTGCATGATTAGGAAATGTTTGTTTAATTGTGACTATGTGATAGCATGCTTACATGACTATATGGGTATGGGATTGGAATTTTAGGATGTTATTTGCGTCTATTAGATTCCTTCAGGTTTTATTAGAAAGGTACTTGATCAATACTCATTCTATTAAGAATTCTTAGTTTCTCATGGGACGTATCTCATCACGGAAGGATAATTCGTATGTGTTTACGTGGCTATGTGCTTATGTGGAGTGAATTGAATTGTTTGTGTGTTAGAATGTATATAATTGTTATAGTTTAACATGTGAGGCAAGTTACGAGAACATTTGGGATGATGTGCTAAATTGTTTACTTTGATTCTCAATTAGGTTGTCGGGAAGGATTCGAACACGAGGTGGTAGGGTTGGAAGGCGAGGTCGAGGTCGTCGGGGTGTACGTGAGATACCGGTCCACGAGGTCCCGGTACGAGAAGAGGGTATAGGCCAAGCTGACTTGGCCAAATAAGTGGGGGCAAGCGGAGGTGCTAGGGCAAGTCGGCCAAGCCACAATGGGGGCTCTAGCCCGGGAGATGGCGGGGGCATTGAGGGAGTCCATGAACGTACTTAGGGCGGAGACCCAAGTTAGGGAGAATGCTGTTGAGACACGAGCGAGCTTCCTCACGAGGGAGTTCTTGCGGGCCAAGTCGGATGAGTTCCATGGCGGCCCCGAGCCAAAGAAAGCGGATAAATGCCTTGAACAGACAGTGAAGACATTCGAGATGCCTCACATAGAAAATAGTGTGCTTAGAGTGACTCTTACAAGTTACTATCTCAAAGGTGACGCGGGTCAATGGTTGAAGTATGCCAAGCGTCGAATAGAGTCGACTTGGGAGGCGTTTGTGGTGGCTTTCCAAGACAAGTATCTTCCTCCCACTGCTAGGGAGAGGTTGTGGCAGGAGTTTAAGGACCTTAAGCAACTCAATATGTCCGTGGCCGAGTTTGAAGCAGCCTTTTCAAGTTTGTCCCGGTTTGCACCGGAATTGGTAGTGACAGAAGAACGCCGTTGCATCGAGTTTGAGCAGAGATTGAGAACTTAGATTCTATTCAAGGTTGTCGGGAACATGATCCGAAACTATGTTCGCCTTGTGGAGGCAGCCGCACATGTGGAAATTATTGTGTAGGTCGAGGATGAGAGACTTCAGAATTTGAGGTTTAGGGGCCAAGGGCCACATGGGGACTTTAGGCCCAATAAGAAGAGTAAGAGTGTAACGCCCTCAAAATAATAACATTAAACCTATCAGATAAGACAAGCATTTACATATAAACTAACCACATTCCTTTATTTCATTGAGTTTCATTACATAAGTATTACATGTTAACATCAAAACAAAATGCCCTACGGGCTTACAGCTTTCCAAGTTAACACTTGGTTACAACAAAAGACTACTAACTCGTTTACACATTAACCCCTTGGCTTGAAGTTACATGTAATACATCAAAAGTTAAGCGACAAAAGTATGTCCGCCTCTAGCCTCCCAGCTATGTCCTTGGAGGTGGCATGCTACCTGCACCTGAAAATGATATTCCCATATAGGGTGAGCCACAGCCCAGTAAGAATTTCGTCCCCGAAATTAAACACAAGTTTTCAAAAACAAAGTTTTCTCCATTCCCAACAATATTACAA